ATGGGAACTCATTTTCGGGCCCTCTACATGTTGGTCTTTAGCCCTTGCAACTAGAAGTTGAGTGCTTGGAACCACTCATGCGAGTTCTTCACAAAAATGAGTTAAGAAGTGGCTTGAAGTTCTACGGGAGATAGGCTCCATTGCTAGTCCGCTAGGATGGTCAATAAGAACTCCTAAAGCTAGATCCTAGGTTCTAAGAGTAGGAGACTAAGACCTCACTAAAAATGAGGTCAACACATGCTGGCCTGTTCCCCTGACGCTTGCACTCTTATGCTTGCCCATGCTCTTGCTCTCATGACCCCGTGCTTGCTAGCTAGTCTCACTTGCATGCTTATTCCACCTAGATATATAATTGATTAGATTCTTCTTTTTATCTTTTCTTCTTGTGTTATACTCTTTTGGCTTTCTTTACTACTCTCTTGGAGACAAAAGTTTTTACCGCTTAAAAGCATAAAGCATAATTGCCAAAATCAAGGATACCCACTATCTCTTCCAGTCTTTCACTTTCTTGTATGATTTCATGAAAAACTTTATCATCTACATTCTTTGCCATCCAAATCGATGAGCTTCACTACATACATTAAATGAAAGCTTTCGGTTATGTTTTCACGTGGATGGTTTGCAACCTTGAACATATTCTTGTTTCTATTGCCTTGTTTGAGGAGACTGCCATAGGATTCTTTTTCGATGATAACATCTCTAGCATATATATCTTCTATTTTGCATTATCTTGGTAACTGGGCCGCAAATTCATTTTTGAGTACGAGAAACATTCTAGGATGCATGATTGGACTTTTCTTTAATATTTTGTCTTCACCCTTAATTTGATTGGCCAAAAACAAAGCGAGAGTTTCTTATTTCTTAATTTCTCTCTAAGTATAATCCATCTCTACATTTTTGTTATGCTCAATTATGGTACTTTGTTGTTTCAAGCATCAACTTTACTTTCTCATTTGTTCTACGAGTCACCAAATTACCAACTAAACTTTCTTTGATCATGATTTGATTGCTCTTGTCATTGAAATAAAGGTCGTGGTGGTAATCATGGATGAGCTAGTCGTAAAGGTGATTGTGGGTGCATCTCTTTTTCTTCTTAGTGTTCTCAAGGAACCAACCACTCGTTTGTATTTGGAGTTGGACATTATTTAACAATTTAGCACATCTCCATTTCTATTTCTGATAATTCCATCGATATTTATTTTGCTTTAATTATTTCTTTTTTTTTTTTAGTGAAGAATGTGATTGAATTTTCTATCTCAATTGATTATGTAAACCTCTCATAGGATTTCCTCTTTTAATGTTTCTTTTTAACTTGATTAATTCAAATATCATGTGTGACAAGTCATTTGTTCATTTATTTAGGTTTTTATTATTTTTTATTTCTTTTATTAATGGTAATACTTTAGTTTTTTTTTTTCAAGCAATAAATATTAAAAATTCACTTAAAATAGAACTCTTCATATTAGAATTGCTCTTGAATGCATGTAATATTCATTTTGCTTTTTCTTTCTTATAATATTATTATAGATTAATTATCATATCCTGATAAAAAGAAAATGTTTTGGTTGAGCATAAGCATTGAAACCTCTTGATGTAGCTTTTATCTTAATATTTCATATGTATCTTTCATGAAAATATTATGGAGATAATCCTTACAATTTGTTACTTATCAATCTTGTAGAACCCACCATTTTAGTTGGTCCTTCTCTTTGTTTTTTAAATTTTTTATGCACACTTGTATTTTTAATGTTACATCTATAGAATTCTACTAAACTCTCTTCATCCAAGATGTTATAAAATATTCTTCTTAGCCTAAGTGTTTGTTTATCTATTCTCATACTTGGAAAGGTTATCAGTGTTATGATCATTTCACATGTCGACACTATCTCTATCACCTTTCATGAGACCTTAACTCAATCATTTCATGATGTCCCACTTCCATCTATTGCTATGGTGTTTGCACCTTCTCCCTTGCAAGTTGTGTAGCACCGACACCTCTAAAAATGTGTCATACTTGTGTCAGACACTTATCAAACACCAACACTTTTTGAATACATCCGAAATTTTTGTCAAAGCCTGAATACATCCGAGATACATGTCGACACTGCATCGGACGTAAGCTCAACATTTGGAGAAAAACAGGGCACTGGAAGTAGAAAATTATAATTATATGTATAATCTTATTTATATCTCATAGTTGAAGCCACTTTCTCTCTCGTCATGTCAAAACTCACTCTAACGTTCATCAAAACCGAGCATACAAAATGCATCCAATATTTGTTAAAGCCGAGAATCATTAGTTCACTATTTGTTTGTTGAAGCCAAGCGTCAAAAGTTGATCGTGCATTCGTCGGTGCTTAGCAATGTAGTTTCTTTTGTTCATCAAAGTCAAAACTTTACCCGCTAAAGCGGAAGCTATAAGCCTCTTTGTTGCTACTTATGTAGGAGTCAAATTGTTTATTGAAGCCAATCTAAATATCCCGTGAACTTTGTGTTACTTGCAATGAAGTTTCTATTTGTCAAAGCCTAGTGGAGTCAAAGTTGCTTTAATTTTATAATGCTTTGTGTTGTGTCCGTTCTTCATAGTTTGCGTGTTTATGCTCATTGCCTCTTGTCATTCACATAGGCTATAGTAAGGAATTCAGATCATAATTTCTCAACTTTTGTTGCTTTGTTTATTTTTTTTCTTACTTTTGTGAGTTAGCATTATCTACAATCTCTAGTCCGAGGACCTGTTAAAAATCTCTACTTGTTTGTAGGTAAAGCTTTCCATTGATGTTGAAATGAGTGCTCTCATTGTTCTGCCTTCATTCTTATTTCTTAAGGCTTGATTAGCGGCGAAAGTTTATACATAAATTCATAACATCGACAACTTCAAACCTTTCTTCCTCTTTGCTCAATTGAATTTGATTACTTTTTCTTTTTTTGTAATTAATCAAGGATAAGTAATATAAGATTCCTAAGTTTTAAGGTTTACCATACAACCTAGGATGAGATGCCCAATAAAAGCATACATGGAAGTTACATTATGTAAGTTACCAACTTTTAATTTAATAAGAATTATTTTTTAATCAATGTTAAAATAACAAATACCCTTATATCATTCTAAACAATAATATAATATTCGTCAATATTTACAATCTTGTAGAAAAATAACAAAAAAATATAAATTTAACAATGATCAAGATGCACACTGTGAAAGGGAACATCACATTCATAATTATTAAAACTTCAATCATATATGCCAATCGCTAAAAAAAATTAAACAGAAACACGATAGTAGATTTCCCATTAGAAATTGCCGTCAAGATTCGTAATTCTTTTAAAGACTACATATCTAATAACACATAAGAATTGACAAAAATTAAAATTTTCTTTCACCGGTTAATGATGAAAACTCTTACATGTCGGGAGTGATATAAGCTAAATATAATAATTTTTAAATCCGTCAAGATTTAATAAAATACAATAATCCGATTTGTTGCACTTGGATTTAAACAATCTCCCGAATTTTCTAGCAACAATAGCACAGTTTTTATAGATTAAGCAAAACATTGACATTGTTGTATCATGTTGTTGCACCAAATTCATAGAAAAATAGTCGATGATGGAAATATTGCCGCTCAAAGCTTAGAATCTTATGATAATTGCTAGAGTTTGTTTGAGAGAAGGAATTACTAATTGTTGCAATCCTAGGAAAAATAGGAGTATAAGAAATCTTTACTATACTAGGAATTTTGTTTTTTATTTTTATCATTCTACTGACTTGAAAAAAAATCGGCTGTGATGAATGTTGTACCATGCTTTCTATAAGATAATATGTGAATTATCACGCACGCGCACACACATCTACTCAGATATTATACATCCAATAACCTCCAAGATTTAACCTCAAAGGTTTGTGAAAATTTTGAATTTTATTTAACCACTCAATGTCAATAATATTACATACCTCAAGGTTATCATATATAGTTCAGAAAAAAGTGGTAATTTTTAGCATTCTTATTTTTTTGGTCAAATATTGTATGTTTCAATTCATCGCAGTTGGATTTTAGCAAATTTCAAATTTTCCTTGGAAAAAAAATACCTCTTGTTTTTTCTAAAACATGCACAAATTTGTGTTTTACCATGCTGGTTTGAAGGAACTAAAGAAGATATTACTGATGGAAAGATGACTGCTTGTACGGTAGTGTCCCATATAAGATTATTGATTGTGACAATTCTAGAGCCTTAGAAATGACATTGCTTCAATTCCTGGAAAAATTGGCTTAGGAGAAATGTTCTACAACCTTGAGAACTTAGATATCTCTGACATAGTGATTTCGTTGTTCATGTTGATGCTGTTCTATTCAATTTAAATGATGCATCCAGCATTGCTTTATTATGGAGATGTGATTTCTTATTTCCATAATTGTGGATATTCTTCTTCCTTATTTATGTTATAGTTGTGTTTCCTTGTAATACACAACAAAATAAAATTATCACCTTTTACATACATAACAAAATTGAATAATCACCTTTTACATATAAAAATAGAATCATCATTTTTTACATCACAAATTTAGCTGTTTATTCAAATGCATGTACTAACTTTGACAAGTGTGATTATGCAGCTCATAGGAACTCCTGATGAAGCTGATCTGGGGCATGTAAATGAGAACGCGAGAAGATACCTTAATCAGCTTCCTCACCATAGACCTCAATCATTTCCTGAAAAATTTCCTCGTGTTCATCCTCAAGCTATTGACCTTATTGAAAAAATGTTGACATTTGATCCTAGAAAGAGACTTACTGGTGCGTTTCTACCTTTCTTTTTGGCTTGCCTTGTTTTTGATAATACTTCAGAAATTGATGACTTCAATCAGGCATTACCATGTAATGGTGTTTTCTTATATAATTTCATTTTTCAACTAATTAGACTTGTCTGAACATGTTTGTTTATATTTGGGTTCAATCTGGCCCAATCCAAAGGACAATCCAATTGTGTCACCAACTTGATAACCTGGTCTAATTTAAACACCAGAGGCAAAATCTTGGAGGAGGGAGAAGAAATGAAATCTCATCGGTCATCTTATTTTTTGTGACTTGTTATTCATGCAGTTGAAGAAGCCCTGGAGCATCCTTATCTGGCTTCCTTGCATGACATCAGCGACGAGCCAGTCTGCATGATGCCTTTCAGCTTTGACTTCGAGCAGCATGCTTTGTCGGAGGAGCAGATGAAGGAGCTAATATACCGTGAGGCCCTTGCCTTTAACCCCGAGTATCAAATGATTTAAGATTTTTGTTTTCTGCTTCAGACGTGCTCCATTTTTTCATCATTTTTGTTCTTTTCTAGCTTGTTCCTGCTTGGTTCTCTGTGTTTTTGTAGTCTGCGGTTCATCCATGTATATATAGTTTATTTAAGAACTTTGTTTTTGTTACATTTGTCTGTGAAATCTAAATGGATGGAATTTGTTATGGCGGAATGTGCAAAGTTTATTTGTAGAATAATTTTGCTTGTGGCTTTTTGTTGTCATAACTTTTCAAAGAACTGATATTTGTTTCATCTTTGTCTAAACAAGAACTGATATTTGTTTCAAATTTATGATCGGATAATTACATAAGAAATTAGATTCAGAGAAAGTTCGAAGAAAACAATAACATATAATAAGAGTTCTGAACTACTTAAAGCCTTGTTCAAAATTTGTTTAAACCTTCTTTGCTCTTACTTGAATTGTCACTGCAATTTATCTTAACCTTATTCAATTTTAGTTTAAAATTGATATAATTTTAAACTAAAGTTGATATAATTTTTTTTAATTTTAATTCTTTTTCTATAATAAATAAACAAAGTTGATATAATTTTTTTTTTGTATATTTGCTTTAGTGTATAGTTTAGAAACTAATATTTAATGAGATTCTTTATTTTATTTTCATTTTCTTGTTAAAAAATGAATCATGCAATTTTTTTACTATGAAGTAGATATTCCACAGCTAATTATTTTGCTTTTCACTTGAGAACATCTACAGTTCTTTAGGGCCCTAACTAACTAACTTTACATACATGTATACATATTTTCTTAATTTATTAATAATTTATACTTTATATCATATGAGTGTAGCACTGTCAGACTTAATATATAATAAGATCAAAAGTTGTTACTCGTTTGGCAAGTTTTATGGCAGTATAGTATTTTCCTTCCTATGATACTCAACTAGTTAGAATATAAATTATAAATACCCCAAACATAAACATCTTGTGCCAATCTAATGCAAGTTCTATACATGAGTGATCATTACAAAAATTTGCATAGGATTGGTTTCATATAGCAATAAGAGCACCCGGGAAGGATGACTAAGAGCTAGGGAAGACAACATTCTCTTGCTGGAATGAGCCCCGAAGGCTCCAAAGACAGGCTCATTCTCTCAATTGATAAATTAGTTTCAAATAGGGCATTTAGAAAGGCCGAGTCCACTCTTACTTAGAGTATAGTAGAGTACTATTGACACCCCGATTGCCATGGATGAACTGGCTTGACTTATAGCTTGAACTTGGCAACCTTGACTTTCTTATAGAATGGATGCCTAAAGCCTGGCTACTTTCTTTCGAGACATGATTGAAGAAAAGGCTAACACCCTTACTCATACGGACCTAATCCTAATGCAGTAGCTAGGTCATCCGTTCTTACCTTGAATGAAATGAAGTTAGCAACCATCTTTCGAATTGACTGACTTCAAGATGGGCCGACTGGATAAGTTCCCCGAGGTCCTAGTGTTATCAGCTAAGTATCTGATGAGAGGAGTCTCTTTCATAGTTTTGAATGAGAAACTGATGCTTGAATGTTAGAAGGAATGAGAAAGATTGGATTCGTCTTTAACCGCGAAACATACTGACTCATTTGAGAAAGTTTTCTCAAACTCAAACAATTAGAAGACAAGAGATCCTATACAAAATGATATCTATATAGCAAATAGACCATCTTTTCACTAAACAAGGGTGTTTAAAAGAAAATGCGGTAGTTTGATTGTTCAAAAAGAAAAGGAACAGGTTAGGGTTAAATTGTCCATTGTTTACTTGATCCACACTTATCTTCTAACTTCTTGTTAGATAATATCAAATTAAGCCAACATTTTTCCATAATTTCTTTATGCCCCCTATTTTAGCCAAACCTGGTACTAATATATGATTAGTCATTCGATGAAGAAAAAAATCATTTTACTCTTTTTTTGCTTTCTTTCTCATCAGAATTCAAATGAAGCATATGATCTAATAATTCAAATTATTAATGAAAAATGAGTGAGTCTTGTAAAGAAAGAATTAGACTTTTGAGGAATCCAATGAATCATTTCAATATTATGATAGTGATTATGAGAGAATCTTTTCCTCAAAAAAAGATATATATAGACAGTTTTCTCTCATGTAAAACTTTTAATTCTCACCAAAAAGATACATAGTTGTATCTTCCCATAAATTCAAAATAATTTCTCGTCTCGTAGAATCTCGCGTCATATAGTCAAATAAGAAAATGAGTTTCTATTACAACAGGGAATGAAAACGATAATATACAAGATATGAGTAGAACATATCCTTCCCTTGGCTTGATCTATGGTCTGAAACTAAGGAATCTAAAATGATTCACCAATCCAATCCCAAGGATCCATAATTCAGCCTATGGCTCTAGCAATAATGAAAAGAATTGATAAGTTGCTGAGTCTTCCTTTGATCTTATCTTATTATGTTTAGAATTTGTATATACTTGTATATTGTACATCGTAAGGTCTGTACATAGTAAAGCTATATGCAAATGCACAAAAACCTCATAGTTCATAATATAGGATTAATCTAAGATGTTTATGCATTTAATAAGAATTTATATGTTAATTATTTTGCAATCATGGGTGAAAAACATCATCTCTCCAAATAATTTGTTGAATTAAGACCAATTGCATTTTGATTTTTATCATTTACTATTTTTCATAACAGAATAAATCATTAAACATGATGCATAAATTATTATTGAAAATAAAAAATATGCATACACCTTTGTAAAGTTATTTAATGGGGTAGACTCACTGTCATTCTGAATTTTAAAATTTTTTTATTAAGAGGGAGGCAACTGCCCACCCTGACTTTTAGGATTTTATTAATTAGAAGGTGTCAATTTATTCATTTGCCCCTCATGTACCAATTTGCTGCGTTGCCCCTTTAGAGTTGTACACCAACCCAATATGAGTTGAACAGACTCTTGTTTAACTTTATCACAACATCAACTGATATTAAAAATTTCATTAAAATCGCATAAATGTTAATTTATTAAACCTTAATAAATCAAAATAATTTATATATGATTACATATTAAATATTTTCACTTTTTATTTTTTAGAAAAAAAGATTTGCACATGAGCTACATGCCGCAACTTGCTAGAGATAATTGCATTACAATGTTATTTTTTGTATTTAGACAATCCCTTTCAGTGGGATTAAAAGTTTTTCAATATTTGAATGCTTCACATAGCGAAAAGCCTAAGAACTGGATGAAAAGGAGCTTTGGTGGAAAAGGGGCTTTGGAAGCGATTCAGAAGCGATTATAGGGTTTCGATGAGGCTTTGCCTTCCTTTTATTAGGATGTTATACCCTAGCTCTTTCTTTCTCTTATTCTTTTATTATGTTTTTTTTTTTACAGTTTTTCCACTACTGTAGTGTGTTTTTAGGGTTTCATTAAATGACGCTTCTCTCCACAAGAGCTAAGTTAAGGCTTCTTTTTTTGGAGTATTCTAACATCTTTTCTAGATGACAGGTTTTCCTTCCACTTCCCTTTCTCTTCGAAAGTTTGCTTGGATCTTTACTGTTGATCGGCTATTTGGTGTTTTCTTTTCTTTTTGTTATTTTTTCATCTCTTTCTTTTCGTTCCCTTTTGGGGCTGCCCTTCTTTAAATTGGAAATGGCTAATTTTCTCTCACAGTTCTACTTATGATTTTCATCTTTCTTATTTGCCATGCATAGAAGACAAGATTTCTTTCTAGATCTTGAAGTGGAGGAAGGTTCAATCAGATGGAATATCACTCTTGTAGGTTATGCACTTGGTAAAAGAATTTTTTACAATAGTCTATAACAATCTATTGATAAGATTTAGAAATTAATGGGTTATGATGAGCTTATTTCATTGACTGAAGGTTTCTTTCTCCTTAAATTTGTTTGCCTTGAAGATTTTGAAATGGCTCTTTCTGGTGCACCACGGTTTATTGGTGGGAAGCCTTTCTCTTTTAAATGTTGGACTCATGACTTTAAACCCATAAGAGAAGATTTTAAAGAAATCCATATTTGGGTTAAGCTTCTTAATCTTCTTTTATTTTGTTCGTCAGAGTTTGGTATTTAAGAAGTTGCTAGTGAGATTGGTATCTCTCTTGATGTGGATCCTTTAATTGCTAAAAAAACTAGGCTTACCTTTACTCATAACAATATTAAAATTAATGCAAACTCACCTCTTCCTAATCCCATCCCTTCCATTCCTCCTCAGTCTCGATCTTTGAAAGGAAAGGGTAAGTAATTTTGGGTTTCTTGATTTTGTGGTTTTCTTTTTTCAGTTTTCATGTTTTTGTTCTATATATTTTTTTTCCAAAATTACTTTCTTGAAATGTTATAGGGCTTAATAGTGATACTGGTATTGTAGATTGTATCTCTTAAATGATTATAAATTTGATTTTCTTTGCTTTTTGAAAACCAAAATTTCTAAATACATTTTAAATGTTCCTTTTTCTTGGAATCGATTTAAGTTTTTCTTATTGAAAGAATTTATGATAATTTTATTGTTGTCAGTCAAGGCATGATATAGATTAAATCGAATATGATAACCGATAATTTTACTATTATTAATATTGATCCTCAATATGTTCATGGGTATGTTGTTTTCTATACTTGTATAATTTTTATGTTGCTATCATTTATGTTGATGATAGTGTTGCTAATAGAAAATCTTTTTGGAATTATATTACTGTTGTTTCTGATAATTTTTCTGCTCCTTGGTTCATTCTAGGAGATTTTAATTGTATTCTCAGAACTGATGAGAAGATGTGGGGATTGCCTCCTTTACCTAATAAGCTTGTAGACTTTAATAATTGCATTTCTTGTACTAGTCCTTTAGAGCCTCAAAATTATGGATTTTCTTATAGCTGGTTAAAAAATTAATTGAAGAATCCCATAAAATGTCTTCTTAATAGAGCTCTTTGTATTTCTCATTGGATTAATACTCTTCCTCTCATTTTATAAAATTTTAAATGCTTATTCTTTTGATCATCATCATATTGTTATTTTCTTAGGGAATTCTAATAAATTACATTACATATTTATGTATAAGAAATTTTGAAGTTTATGTCCAAATTTCTTTTTTTATCACTAATGATACTTGGAACATCCAAGTTAAGGGAGATACTAGTTTTATTTGTTGTAGCAAGCTTCATAATATTAAAATTTCTCTCAAAGG